TCATTCTAATATGCTGATTTGCTGCTCAAGAAACATTTCTGCTATTATCAGTGTTAAATCTCTGTCTCTGTAGGAGTGTCTGAATCCCTGCTGTAATGCCAGTACATGCACACTGAAACAGGAGGCCGTATGTGCACATGGACAGTGTTGTGAAGACTGTCAGGTAACTTTTGACGTTCATCGTAATCCACTTTATTTGTTGACTCTTTAATACCTTGCTAATTTTATGTACTTAAATTAAAAATGTGCAGCAAAATTAATTAATGAGATTAGCTTAAGGATGACATTGATTCAGAAAATGTATTAAATATTAAATTATTTTATAACAATTTAATATATAATAAATGTTATTCAATGTAATGTTTTAAAAAAAATGTTTTACAAATTTGAAGTTAATATTTTCTTAAATCAAGTCTCTGTTTTCATTGTGCTTTATTTTTCAATTTGTATCTTTTTCGTGTTTGTAAATAGTAATAATCTTATCAAAAGTTGGCTATTAAAACACTGTAAGCCTAAATAACCAAACAAAATAAGTAAGTAAAAGTGCATATTATTCTAAAGCAATCAATTTTTTTTATTCTTTAGAACATGGACATGGACTGAGGAATCATTCACAATAAAACCAGGAACATTAATAAATTAAGATAAAAGTAAACTGTTATTTTGTATTGACTGAAAGGACTTCATTGTGTTATTGCCATATTAATATTATATTTTTATAGTATTAATATATGTGCCAAATTTCATGATGTGTTTGTTGTGTAGCTGAAGCCTGCAGGGACTCCGTGCCGTGAGTCCAGTAACTCCTGTGACCTGCCGGAGTTTTGCACAGGTGCCGATCCCCACTGCCCCGCTAATGTCTACCTGCACGACGGACACCACTGTCAAGGTGTGGATGGACACTGTTACAACGGCATCTGCCAGACACACGAGCAGCAGTGCATCACACTGTGGGGACAGGGTGAGGACAGCGCCACCCGAAGGCCTGGAGGAACAGCTACTGCATCTGTCTATACCTCATCTGTGTGTTCAATATATGTGAAGAACCTTGTGTGTGTTTAACAGGTGCAAAACCAGCTCCAGGAATCTGTTTCGAAAGAGTCAACTCGGCGGGAGATCCGTATGGAAACTGTGGAAAAGACGCAAAGGGATCATTTGCCAAATGTGAAGCACGGTAAGAAAAAAAATATCAAGTTTAAGTACAGTAGTGCCGGAGAAATTCTAGAGTTAAT